TTGTTTATGCCTACCCCCTGCCCCTGCCAACATCCACAGAGCTCCAGGGATCGTTTCCAGTTGACGAACTGCCACCTAGAGAAGCATCATCACGGCCCGTATGAACTCGACTGTTCATTTAACAAACAGAAACAAGAGTCACCTCTCCAACAACCCCCGAACTCACTGGGATCCCAGTGCCTTGTATAATCAGCACCTTACAACCGTTTCTATGGTTTCCAGAGCATCACACAACACTGGCGTGTTCATCTTGCTGTTCAGTGCGAGATGGCTTCTCCCTTCCAGAACCATCACAACTTTCCCTCCGCTGCTGGCGAGCTCCCATGCACGGAAAACTCCAGCCAGGGCACGGAGAACGTGCATGGAGCAACACGCACATAACCAACACCGAGGAGCTGCGTCCCCTCTTCCAATGCCATGACAACAGCAGTCGCAAGCAAAGCTTTCCCAGGAACCATCTCCACGTTTGCTGAATTTCACATTGCCTTACAGAAAACTCAGAAATCAAGGGTGAGCCTCTGTGATTCCACTTTCTTCTCCTATCTGCACGAGTTCTCCCCTCCATGGTTTTCTAGTTCAAAATTTAGCTGTCGGGCTAATACCACCCACGTTTGGCCCTGCTTACACCAGCCACAGCCCCACCCCGATCCCGATTCACTCGGTTTAAATGCTGGCTGGGGACCACCAGGACAGCCAAGACCCAGCTTGCTATTTAAACAGAAATGCTTAGAACTGGTGTTCCAGAAACCAGTTCCTGTTCTTGGTGTGCTAACATCATTGCTCCTGATCCTCTCCAGGCCCATCACTGCCTGTATTCACACCAGCTGCTAACAAGCTTGTTTAAACACAAGGCAGGGCCGAACTGTTGCCAGACTCGGTTAATGGACCCAAGGGAATTTCTTCAGTCAACAGAAATGGTGGATTGCATAAAATGGTTGTTTGTTTGATTTGTCCACGAAAAAGTTCATCTCTAATGCAAGTATTTTTGACAGAATCTTCCTGGCACAGCCTCGTGGTTTGTGCTGATAGCAGTTTTTTTCCCCCTCCTACTGCAGGGATCCCAAGGCAGGGCTCCACAGACACGGGATTCATCCCTCCTTGTAAAACCGTGGTTCAGAAGCCAAACATTAAACAACCCCCCAAAAGATTTCTAACAAGGTCCAGAGATACTCCTGAAAATATTTCTAAACTGTCCAGACCCATCTGCTGGAAACACATAAGCAATTCTACTTCCCACATAACCAGGGCACCAACATCATCTCCCAAACGCAGACCAGGACGAGCAGCTGCTCATGTGTTGAGTAAACAAAGCCACCTCAGCTCGCAGCCTGCTCCGCAGCACGGCCACACCAGCCACCAACCCTCTTAGGCACTCACAAGGCTCACCCAAACGCAGACTGAGATCGGTGGCGTACAGGTGGAGGAAAATGAACTAGCAAGAATTTGTGGGAAATCCTGGATGCCTGTCCAAGGGTGAGGAGGTCACAGCTGAAATTTTCTAAACGCCTTCCCAGCCCCTCAGGACACCGTCCTCCTTTCTGGCAGCAATTTCTTCATAATGTGCATCCAATATAATCTCATTACTAGCTTAGTGTTCATACAGAACTGTCAGCTTGCCTTCCTCCCTTTGCCTAAATATTTCACAGCCAAGTGCTCCAAAAGTTACATTGTCCTGATCCAGTGCCTACAAAAGTTGCCAGATTCCTAGTACCCAGACAGCTACAAAAAAAAGGCTAATTGCCACCAAGCAACAACTGTCCCCAAGAGGCCACAAATGAAACTCAGAAGAATACCACCAATTTCCATTTCTTCAGGGCTCCTAATAGTACCACTGATCAAAGCCTGATTAAATTCATTATCCTGCTTCCTGGGCAAGGCTCTGAGCAGCAAGCACTCGGAACGTCCTTTGACTCAGAAAGACAGTGCTGTGTTGAACTACATTTAGAAGCTTTCACTCTATCATCAGACAAGCTAGAAATACAATTCTAATTTTTTGTGTGCATTATTTCGTTTCTGCAAAAATTAAACCTAAATCCCTTTCACTCTCTAGAAAACATCCATTAATCCACGGGAGAAATAGGTGTCTGAGCCCCGAAAGCATATTAATTTAGGAAGGGATGACGTTTCTGAATTCTTTGACCACCTGAATATTCTCCCAGAACAGCATCCAGAGAGCAGTGGCAAATCAATTCCAGTACGAGATTTGTGCCTGCCATCACAGATGAGGGAGAAGTTTCCAGAGAAAAATACAAAGATGGTCTTAGGAACCTCCAAAGGAGGTGGATGAAAGAGCTGAGCTTTCACTGACGTTTCCAAGGGACCCTCTCCCAGCTCCTTCCTAAGACTCGTGCCAACCCAGGGAGGCCGGGGAACATACATGGCCTGAGTTCTGGTAGCTGAAGCCTAAAGTCAGAGGGAGACAAGGTTGGACAGATGGGGCCCAAAAGACCATTTTATATTTTGGGATGGAGAAGAGAGATACGTGTAATTCTCCTCAAACAGCCAACTGAGGAACAGGATTGTCACTGTGTGCGTGGGGCCTCTGGGTCGTGACACGTGGGAGTCCCCTCACCATTACGGGGCCACAGGGATTTCCCTGAGTGAGAAAGCCAGGGGTTGGTGACAGGGGACAGCGCTGTGGGTGTCGAATGAGCATCCTCAGGGCCTCCGGTCCCAAAGAGGTGTGCCAGGGCAACAGCACCCTACACAAAGGGACGCAAACCAAAATGGCATCGCTCCCCCTCCCCAGTCCTCGGAAAGAGAGGGGAGGGTGTTGGGGAAGAGGACACAGGCAGACGGGTGGGTGTGAGGGGGCAGCCACGCTCTGGCAAAGAGAAGCGTCTAGCAGCAGGGAAGTCTAAAGCCACCCCAGGCATGAGGAAGGCGATGTCTGGGAGGGACACCCTGATCCGGGGGGGGGGGGACCCCAAACTGCCCGGAGACAGGGATGCTCTGGGGAAGCAGCCCCAACCCCAGGAGAAAGGCACCAAAAGGGACAGGGATGCAGGCGGGAAGGAGCAGACCCCACAAAGACCCTTCCTCACAGGGCGGGCATCCACCACGCCAGGAGGACGAGCGGTCCTGACACCGGGGTGCCCTGGGAGTGGGAATCCAGGGAAGGACCCGGATTAGGGAACGGATGCCAGGGGGAAGGAAGGCTGCGATTTAGGGGGTAAGTGGGTGTAGGGGACAGAGCCCGATCCGGGGAGCGAGGGCCCTGGCCTGAGGGGGGCGGGAAAAGGCCCTGCCTGAGGGAGAGGGGGGAAGGGCTCGATCCGGGGGGGG